TGCATAGATCGTCTACGTTAGTCATATACAGGTATACAAGGTAATTAAACGGTGCATTGTGATTATTTCGGTCAAAAAGCAGTTCACCAAAGACTTGCTAACAACAGCACTTTTTTAAAATTGCCCAATGGAGAATATCTCTACAATAGTGAAGTTATTACCACGAACAACCAAGAAACCATTGTAAAACGGACACACAGTTAGCTTCTGCAATATAGCTCATCTTTGAGAAGCTTTCAATTAGCAACTTGACTGAAGAATTTCCAATTAAATCTGTTATAAATTGCTATCGCAAACACATCGCAATTTTTTCGACTAGACTCAGTTTTATATCCATAGATAGAGAGGATAACAATTTTGTTATAGCTGCGATAAGTGCCAGCCTCGGTTGGCCTTTAAGGTAAGATAGTGTATGACTATAATTTACGGACGAATCAGTCATATTAAGGGTCATGAATCTTCAATTTTAGTGGGAGAATTGTAGCTGTTGAATTCATGTGACGATCAAAGCTGGATCAATACTGAAAACCTGAAGGCACTGAAGGGCTTACTAGTGACTGGCTTCAAGTTAGGTTTCTTGGAGTCCTAGTTAAGGTCTGTGATCATTGGAGTCCAATCCGTGTTGAATAGAGACAGGCATCTACGTCAGACAGTTAGTGAATGGTTGCGCAAAATCACGGACCGATTGACACTGGACATTAAAATTGTTGGATGCTGTCTCAGTGATCTAGAGGTTCAGAGTTTTCGCCCGAGTGATTGAATGTCTTGCATGCGGGATCGTGGATACGCGCTGCTTGGGACTCCAATACTAGGATGAAACGGCTATCCAGTGCTTTCAGGTTTTCAGTGGTGATCAAGCCTAAATGGAATAGTGAATTCGGCTGTTAAGATCACAATTTCCACGAAATCCACTCTGATATTTATGGATGACAGAAAACCTCAGTAATAATTACTGACACTATTTGCAATTTGTAAGTCTGGTCCTAATTACTCATGCCAGTTTATAATTTAATTTCTACTCTGACAAGTTGTTAACATTTCACAATATTTATTTAGTATGTAGAATTATGGTCTATATCGATATTAGTACTGCTATTACTACTGCTAAAACTAATATCAAAATTACAGGTATCTCACGATGTGACTACCTAACCTACAAAATCTTGCGTGGAAGTCACATCACTGTCTACATTGACTCATCGTCTCAGTGGTCTAGAGGTTAGGTGTTTTCGCCCAAGAGACTTAATGTGCTGGGATCTGAGTTTTGCATGCAGGTTCGTGGATACGCGCTATACGTATACCTTATGTATATGCTTTAGATGATTATAACACCTACCAGGATGTTAATATCAGCTTCTGCAGTTAGAAATATAAACCAACAAATCATTATATTTCAGAAAATAAATCAGACTCGCGTTCAAGAGTACAATTATTTGAAGATCTTACCAGAGACTAAGCTAACATGGCTTTACTACCTATTGTCCAGTTTCAGTCTTTAGGCTTCCGATATTCTTGCGAAGATAGCTAATGGTAGAAACAAGTACTGTTTTAAAGCGATTACGAGAAAGCATTGAAATGTACGATTTATTATTTAAAATATGTTATTCTCAGTTGACCAGATTGTCTGAGATCGTATGTGATGATCTTCGGAAATCATCCAACGTGCGTGCCAATGCCAGAACTGACAATTATTTATACTTTACGTGGGACTGAAAGTGAAATAGGAATCAGTAGCTACAGATTCCACAGGACGATTCAAATTAAGTTCACATAGCAGACTTTATATATCTTCATTGGCCACGGTTCAGAAGTGAAATCTGTTCAGAAAATCAAATAACACAAGCCATGTACGTTACGAGCCAGGCTTACCTAAGCAACGCAAGAGATAAAGTAAATAAGCGTGGATGGCGATCCAAAGGAAGTCCGCTAAATGCACTTTTGATCTATAATTGAATACCCATTTCTGTTTTATATTGGTTTCTGTTAAACATTTATTAATTATTTCCTGTCTATCTCATTTTCAGCTGGCTTCGCAAGCGTTCACAGGCCTAACTGGAAGTTTCTTAATTCAGCAAACACTGTTATACCATTGGTACGCATTATGAATTCATAGGTTGGCTAATGGATATGACATGGGGTGTTCGTTTTTTTACTTTAAGCTATTTGGCTGTTCTGATACTGCATTTGTAATACAGAAGAGCGGCTTTTTTTCTTTTAGTAGAACACTGAGAATGAAAGGTCGACACCAATCTGATGTGCTTAACCAAAAAACGCATGAGGAAATCTTTAAAATTGGAAGTTATTTAAACTTGAATAAACGTTTGCACTTATAACACATCAGTCTTTTAATTACGGCAATACCTATCTATCGTGACAGATCGAAATTTGAACTAGTAGTTATGTTACCAATATCCACGTGACACCAGACTGCACATCATCTGCACTATGTTTTCGTTGATGAATTTAATGAGTTCTCTGCTACTGCCTTCAGTGATTCACTTTCACTTTTATTTGGTGATGCAAATCCATGTGACTGTAGCTTCCTTACGTCGCTAGGTTGCTAAAATATAGTAGATTTTCCTACTTCGTTTTCATTAATGATGTGGGCATATATGTGACTCGTAAACGTGCTCCATTGTCTAGCTCTTATCACCGTAAAGTATATGAAAAGCATGGAAAGAGTACACTCTTACATCAAATCAAGAAAGTCAAATATAGGAATTACTCAGAAGAAAATACCCGAAATCTAAAATACATGTTTCATATGACTAACTGGGAATAATTTACAGATGACTCACTGAAAAACACTACTGATGTTATCACTTGTTAGTTTAAATTCTGTTTTGATATTTGTTGTCAAAAAGAAACCTTTCTTGCAACTTTTAATCGACTTACATCTTCACAACTAAAGCGACTACGGAGGGCAAAAGAAATAATGTACAAGGAGAAAAACCCTAATGAAGTCTGTAATCTAAATTGTCTCATAAACCTAGGGATTAGATGTCTCAACTCTATGTTTACTCAAAAACTCCTGCCTTGTAAAATCTCTCCAAGTATGTGCAAACTCTTTGAAGAATTTACAGGTGATAGGCACATTAGAAGTGATAACCGGCTGAATGTTTGTGACTTAAATAAGTCTTTTGAACTTCAGACATCTGATGTAATGCTCCCTATATTCACAGGTTTAAACAATAGTTGTGTTCCCAGTTTTATTAAAACTGATATCCGAAGATGTCTCCAGCCACCTAATTCATTCCGATGTTTAGGGCCTGATGGTATCCCAAACCTCCTTTGTAAAAAGTGTGCTGATGTTCTATGTTATCCATTCACGACTATCTTTAACAGATCCTTCTCATCTAATCTCATACCGAAGATGTGGAGAAAGATAAAGAAGATCCCTATACCTAAAAACGTATCTGGTTGTAAGAATGCGAAATTTAGATCCATAGCAATAATTTCACCCTTCCTCAAAACAATGGAAAAATTATTTATACTTCCACTTCAGCTTGCGATAAAAGAGCACATAGATCCGTATCAGTTTGCTTACAGATGCAAAAGAAGAACCTTAGATGCCGCTGCTGTTCTGCATCGCAATATAGTGTTCAACTTGGAAAAGGGTAAGAAGTATGTTCGATGCGCTTTTCTGGACTGTACTTCTGCTTTTGATTCTATATCAATACAACATTTACTTACCAAGTTAACCAGCGTCAGCGCTGACAGTTGAATAACCAACTGACTATGTTCCTTCCTCTCTGGAAGCGAACAGTACACAGTGTTTGGAGGAAATTAATCAGCGTCTCTACTGTCTCATGAAAATGTGACACAAGGAGTTGTTCTTTAACCTCTTCTTTTCTCTTTTTTTCTTCATGATCTACCAAGTTCCGCAGGAAACACTTTTGTGAAATATGCGGATGATCTCACTGTATACCGGTCTCTACCTCTTTACATCCCATAAAAAATGAATGATTTTTTGTCTCGAATTGATTGTTGGTCTGTTGTTAATAGTCTCATACCTAATCCGTCTAAATGTCAAGCTGTTTACCTTAGCATGAGACATGAACGGCATTTAAACATCACTTTGGATCCCATAGTGCTTGTGCCATCGGAAACTCTGGTAAACACAGTGTCGACGGTCAATTATCTTGGTGTTAACTTTTCCTCTGATCTCTCTTGGTTTTCTCACTTTTTACTGTTATCGAAGAAGGGCTTACTACATAAACAGACTGCAAGCTCTTGGGATTAATCGTCATTTACTCTTACAATCTATCAATTCCTGCATATTACCTATTATTCCTTACTGTTCTCCATTATTATTTCCCGAGCTTTTGAGAAAAGACTGCTGTATTGCGGAGAAAGAAATAGACATCTTAAGTCGTGCAAACTCCTGGCAGGTGTTATTTTATCAAATACTAACCATCCCCTTGACTCATAACTTTCTCCTTGTGTTTCTGGTAGAACGAGACGTAATTATATATCATCCATGTATGCAAGCAAAAGTATAGAAGTTCTACAATACATTATCTAGTAAATGTATGAATAAATGGTCCGCTAATGCACTATAACCCACGAATAGTCTCGTAGACTTTGGCAAGTCATGAAACTAGTAATGTCGCCCAGCCACACGAAATACATCACTTCTAGTTTTCAGACCAGTAAGAAATGAAGTATCATACCGCAAACAAAGGATGTCGTAGTATGTTCGATAACACAGAACTATTTTTGTTTCTCACTCCACAATGCAATAATGTAGTAGTTTTGGAGAGGTAATAGAGTAACTCGTTAGTAGCATACTTGAAATCTGTGGTAGAGCATTTAAGAAATGTGACGTACCGAAACAAGTGGAAGTGAGTCGTCTGAAATTAACGATAATTCTATGGTTAACTCACATAAACAGAGATCCAACCTGATTTTCAATTATTAACTCCTTGTAGTTTCTGACTTACACGCGAATAGAATTGAAAAGTGGTATATCTGGCGTATAGCTTGTATATTGCGTTACTATGATTCGGAGGCGTGCTGCGTATGTTGCAAAAATAAAAGGTTTCAGTCGTGAAGTGAAAATTGTAATTAAATGATCGGTATTACTAACAGTTTTCAGAAAGAGGTCAAACGGTTCTTCAAGCCGATTAGGATAAAGGACTTTAGGGTTCTGAAAAATGGTGTGTTTTTTCTTCAACATTTATTTGAATAGGCACCGGCCTAGTGTTTTTTCGGAATCACCAGGATTTAAATAAAGCCCTCAAAAAGAAGGGCGACATAGGTGGAAGGGCAGTCAAGATTGAGGAGAACATTCAAGAAAAGAATGAAGCGTCTAATGTACAAGAACCTGAACAACCTAAGTGGTTAGTTAAGAGTGATGAAGAAACAGTATCTGCAATATTAGAGGTAAATTTCGCCACTTCATTATTGCATTCTAGACTGGCCGGTTATTTGTCCGTAATCTGTCTTATGCCTGCACTGAACAAGACCTTGAAAAGCTATTTTCTGTTCATGGTTAGTCCTTACTGAATCAGAATATCTTATATTTCTAGGATCTCTATCAGATATTCACTTAGCTTTCGACCATTGGTCACAAGTGTCTAAGGGGTTTGCGTTCATCACTTTCCTGTTCCCATCTGACGCTGTGAAAGCCTACAAATCACTAGATAAAACAAAGTTTATGGTGAGTAGTTCGGTATACTTATTCCACTTTTTACATAATTTTAACAATACTTAAGCGTTGTTCGTCCTTTTAACACGATTTTTTTGCGATCAATTTCCACATGTGCGATAACAATATATCACTGCAGTTAACTTCCTCTGGAGTTCTGTAGGTCCCAAATATTAAAATATATAATGGGTTTGTAAAAATCTGTTCGTCAAATTGTCTAGTGCTTTAATAAAATCATTAATGGCTACCACTGACTTGTCAAATAATCAAGTTCTAACCTGGAGTGACCATTCGAATGCATGCAATCTAGTAAGTACATATCAGTCAGTCAACTTAGAACCTGGTAAGTATGTACATCGGTTCAAGTTACTATACCTCATTAGTACAGAGAGATAAAGTTGTCAGACCGAATTCCAGTATAGTACGAGTAGTCACAGTATCAGTGGTAATAGTAAAGGTTAGGCATAGAAAATACATTTCGAAAAGAAAATACAAATTAGTGAAGTGAAAAACAAAGAGAGGATGTAAGGAATTAAAAACATCGAAATTCTAGGGGAGACAAAGAATGATTGCGCGTGCGCCACTGCAAACGATTATGGGCCATGTCGTTCAAAGTCTAACCATTGGTCACGATAATTACGCGGACCCCAACCGGGTAGTCTATGCCTACTAACATGGTTAGGTCCAATTGTCAATGACTTCATTGACTGACTCCATGTCTTGGTTTGGCCGCCCTTAGCTTTCATCTAGCCTACTCGTGTATCATAAAAAAACACCGCCCGTCAAGGCAAGTGGTGGTTGAGTATACGTAACACATATCCAAACCACCTCAATTGATGAAGACCTACTACCTCATCAATCGACTTCCCATCCTTGTACCTAGTACTCTATTCCCAACTCAGACGTTACTTACTCTGTAGTCCGAAAATATACGAGCAATGCTTCGTAGACATCTATGATTGAATATCAGTAACGTACGAATATCCGCTATTCTCAATGGTCATGTTTCACATTCAGAAAGTAGGACGGAGTGAACTGTGGCTCAGTAAAGTCGCCCTTTGGTTAGAAGATAGATATCTCACCTGCACCACAAGTGACGCAAGTTGGCAGAAGCCAATCGAACCTTCAGAATCCATGTCGAGATTTCGTCAGACATCAGACCATGAATACTGAGGAGACGACGCGTTCAGCTACTTCACTATCTATCATTAATGCAGGTGATGACGCAAGCCAATTGTGAAGTAACATTTTCCATTTGGAGGAAGATAACCGCACCCCAAACATACTTGGATTGTTGCTTAAGGTGGTCACAAGTCTACATTTTGCCAGCGTCTCATCAAACAGAACTATATCATCTGGGTATTCTGAGTCAACAAGTTAATCTCCTGGTAGATCAACTCCTGAAGGTGTTATCTATAAAGGCATGTTTATGACCAAGTTAAATAAAAGTGGAGAGAGCGGATAACCATAATGAACACCACTTGAAGTACCCAATTTCGGTGACGATTTGCTGTGCACTCTGACTCGACCAGTAGTGATTGAGTAGAGGGCATGTATAAGGTTCATGTACTTCTTTTGGTATGCCTTTCAATGACAGACTGCCACGGAACCTCACGATCAATGGAGTGGAACGCCGCCTTAATGTCAAGGAATACAACCATAGAAGGACGTCGAAAAGTATGTCTATCTTTCAGAATCTGCCAAAGGGTGAATATTTGGTTTATACATCCACATTGAGGTCTGAAACCAGCCTGGTTTCCTCGGATTCGCTCTTCACGAGTTCTAGTTAGACGTCGAAGTATTATTGAGGCTAATATTTTAGTCACTGTATTAGTTAAACTGATTGTCGTAAAAGGGTGTTTGTTCTTCTTTATAAACTGGGACGATCAGCAATCGAGACCAGTCAGAATCTAGCTAAGATTTAACAGGAATGCTGAGTTTCCGAGCACCTATCTGTTTTGTAGACGCTGCTGAAATCTACTGACTTTTCCTAACTATTTGGTTTAATTTAAGCGCTGTTCCTCTTAGTTTTGTGTGGACTGTCAGTCTCATCAACCCTCAATCCAACATGGAGTGTATAAACCGATGATCAGTTAGTACTATTTTTAAACTCACAAAACAATAGCGTCATTTCAGGGTGCTAATAATTTCATGTATTTCTTTAAAACATCTACCATATATGCAGATTGCATAGCTTTTATTTCTCTACGGTATGACACTCAGGTTTTGATGAAATACATAAAAGTGTAGACACTCCGCTATTATGTTGTTGTTTTACGGGCTTGAAGTTAGTATTAATTGATCACAGGATTATGTACTCTGTGTCGGTTTGAGGGTTAGTGGTATTAACCTTCCACCCAAACCAAAGTAGAACAGGTCTTGATCATTAACCGAACAATTTTACTACTAAGCCGTTAATCTAAGAAAACAACTACGTAGGTATTTATATATGGTATGTCAAGTGCTTCTTGTCATTTAATTTGTGATATGAACCAATGTTGCTTACTTTTCGTAAGGACCCAGCGCAGAGGTAAATTTTCACCTCTTAATAGTATGAAGTACATCCTAAATGCTTCTAGGAGTCCACAAGTAATTCGAGATGGTATACAAATTTATATATGGTCTGTAATCGTAATTTTATTTGAAAGTTATTGTGAGCACTGAAAGTCTCTTTACCTAGTTAAATTAGGTACTACAATATGTAAATTAATTTAATCTGGAACTTTGTGTTATTGACAATGGTATGTTAGTCAAAATTAGTTGAATTTACAAAGTAAAGAAGCTTATATGATGCGAAAAAGTACATAAATTGGCGAGTCGCCAAGATATAGCTGAAACGCCATAGCATGTTTATAAATTTCAACGGGAAAATTTAACCGAAGAGATGCAATTTTGAAAAACATTACTCTTATAATTATCCAGATGGTTGGCTAAAATAATCATATTTAATAATGAGTTTTATCTGGACCATCATGTTTGTCACTAACATTCTAAGTTACGTATTTTATGGTCAAAATACGGTTGTCTCGCTTATCAGCCTGTGTGTTGTATGTCGCTTAGTTACAAAATATTCAAACCCTCTGAAACAAAGTGCAACTGTTAGACTTCATTGAATTTCTGTATTTCGGCTTTAGGCATTGAATTTAAATAAGTCGGTCAGTTCTCGTTTTTTGAGTTCTTATTTCAATAGTAAGTTTTTCAGTCATTTAGTCGTCCCTCAAACTAATAATCTTTTCTGTAAATGTTCTAGTCAGTTTGGCTTTCTATTCTGATTCTGTTAGCGTTATAGTGTTTTCAAAAGTGTCAAGCCTACTGTATACTGAGTACAATTTTGCAGCTCGGCTGAAAACAGGTCTTCATTATCAATATAAACTTTGCCACAAATATACAGTAACTGGAGTTGCCATACTACATTGGCATGAAGTGAAATTATCAGAATAAGTAGCATAGGGCTCGAAATGACATTAATATCATCAATTGGCAGTAAAACTAAACATTGAGAATGTTCAAAAAGAAGACATGTGTAAAAGAATATGCCCCTTAAAATACAAGGGGGGAATAAGAAGTGAACGCTTCTGCACCAATGCGATAGGTTGTGAACCATATCACCTGGCTTTCTCCATTTCTGATTGTGTCTACACCCTCCAACAGTCGTCGATCTCGTGGACTGATATTACGTAGTGGTTTGGTTTCCACCAACGTCCTTTTAAACTAATCCATCCAACATTCCGAGTCTAAGTAGGATGTGGTTGGGTATACATAACGTATGTCCCAGCCGATTCGAACCCTAATAGTGTTATTTGGTGTGTCTTAAGTTTCCTGTAGCATGCGGATCATTTGACAGGTATTCCTTCTAAAACCCTACAATCACAGTTACAAGCATACTGGTTTTCGAAATTCGCTTTGTTGGTACACCGTTTTAACTTTAGTTTATCAAGCAATTTTGTAAGTATTACTGTTTTCCGAATTCACTACGACCACTTGTCCTTTAGCTACTAAAATCTACCATTATAATGGATTCCTCAACGGAAAATTGTTAAAGTAAGGTTCTGACTCAACTACACTGAACGTAGGTTTCAGTGAACATTGGAAAAAGTAGAATGGCATACGATGTATTTTAAGCTAATTTTGAATCGTGCAGGATGAGGCCACAATAAATTAATTAAGAATGTAATGCTCATGCAGAGAGCAGCCAAATATAGGACTACAAATCTTGAGTTTTCGAGAAAGATGATTAGGGAATCCTTCGATATCACTAAGGTCAGGTGCAACCAGTATCGTCTATGTTATCCAACAGATCCAATTAGTAGTAGGAGTATCCATAGTTTACATAGCTTCCTAATCTCACGATTTTAGGAAGCATATATATATATATATATATATATATATATATATATATATATATATATATATATATATATATATATATATTGGTAGGCTAGTTTATTGAAATTAATTTACTAATATTTTCGTTATCTTGTGTTAAAAGACCTTACGGAATTTTTTTAGAGGTGGTTTTTCACTTAAATCGTATGAAACCATAATAATTTAGTATGCTTAACTTTCTTATGTGGTTTTAGAACCAGAATTCTGATAATGAATTAAGCTTACGACCTATAGTATAAATTTATTCCAACCATTTAATAAGCACTAATCTTTGCACTTCATTTTTACCTGGTGTATTTGTAGGACAATTATTTAACAAGTTTTCATTATGATAAACATGTAATTGCTAACTAACTAGTTATTCTAGAATTTCGTTGTATGTATCTCACTATTCGATGTTTGTCAGTCTCAAGGTGTATTGTTAACTGTGTTTTAAATTATTGTTATATTTTTACATCTAGGACAGGCTAATTCACATCCTTCCTGGTCAAGAAAACACAGAACCTAAGGACCCATTTAGAAAGCCTCTAAACAATTTTTATAGAAATGAGAATTCTGCTGATCCGCCAAAGATGTTTTTATCAAGCTTTCAAAACGATCGATTTCAAGAATTGAAAAAGAATTCAAGCGTTGGACATAATTGGAATGCTTTATTTATTCGTCCAGATGCTGTTGCTACATATTTAGCTGCAAAATTCGGTTTGACTATGGTAAAACTTTATTTTGATGAGTAATGGCTTTCAAATAATTTCTAAACTCTACGGCGATTATCAGCATACGAAGTACCATTCTCAATCAATAAATTCAGTATAAATCTTTCGATTTATTAGTGAATGCTAGTTTGAATTTACCCCTATACGCCTAAAGTTTTCAGTACTTTTTGACCGTTCACTTATTTATGGTATTGTTGTTATTTATTCAACAGAGAATTGACAATGCTGAATACAAAAGAAAAGATAACTGAAGATTCATTTGACACTGAAAATTGATCAAGATCTATCTATGAAAACGCCGATTTTTGTGCGATTTTACACATCTATTAATAACCACATATTGAATGAATTATACGGAGTAGCGCTTGATATTAATTAACCAACAATTTGAGTGTATGAAGACAATTTATAATGCCATAAAATTCAACTGCTATAATCAAAAAATTTAACTAATATAATGAGTTATTTAATTGTTCTACACTGATTGTATAAGTTATTACAGAATTAAGGAAGGCGATAAGTAAACTGATTGTTAAGTTCTTTAAGAAATACGAGAAAAGTAAAGTATATAAACGAGCCAGGCAGATTAAGAATATTTATTTATTTATTTGAACACATAAATATTGGTACAAGAGGGCACCAAATATATATGCGCCACACAAAACAATGAGAATTTAAAGAGAAGGATAAAAAAGGTAAGGAAGGTAGGGAATTATAAAAAATGAACAATAATGGGGGAAACGAAAGGGTACAACCAGAGGAAATCTTACAGTTAAGGAATAAGCAACTACATTTTATGAAGAAGGTAAAAGAAGGTTACAGCAGGATCGCCAGTGGCTTCTATTCTGAGCCATATCTGATAACGTTTCTAGCGATTATCCCATCTTATCGCGTATTTCAAAATCCAATTACTAACAGCTTTCAAGTTGTAATGAGCTATGTAACAATTCAACAAAATGTATAAATGTTTTGCTACTTAGGTGCTGAAAGCTGACAAACATAACAAGATTAAAAACTAGGAACTGATCTACTCGATTTTCAGAACTGTAGAGGAAGATTTACTGGTTTTTCAGGGAAAAAACAATACAGACAAATATACCTAAAATACACAACATTCAGGATTTTTGAAGTAAACTAAACCTTTTCACTGTGACACCACTTTATTAAAAAAACATTAAAATTTAAGATTGTGTATCGTGAATATTTGTGCAAGTTTTGTTAATCTATTTGGTTATAAAACAAGAATGTTTTGTAGCCAAACTTGTAACCTTAACCCCTTCATCCTGACTGATGTCAGTTTGGTATGAACACCCTAACTTTTCTTCCTTTATTATAAGTGGTTATTCTCACGAAAAAGTTCACTACTCATGTCAAAACTCCTGATCTCTTGTAATTTCATCATTTTTTTGTAAATTCTTTTATAAATAAAAACTCCCTATTTGACTGACCAAAACATCGCTCAAGGTTGACCATATACTTTACTTCTGTTGAAAATACATTAGTTAATGATTCATTTTCTACAGTTTAGCATATGTTGAGCCACTTAAACTGGTGATCACATTATGGCTTGAATTCGGTCAGCACTAAAGGACTAAACAAGGGTAGCATCGGTCACAACTCAGCGATCAATCAACTGTAGATATCTCAGTCGAGGTGCTAATAACTCAGTCGTAACGTTTCCGACTAAAAACTTCGGTGATCCTGATTCGAACTCCACATGGAATATAAGTTCCTTCAATATTTTAAGAACGCCTTAATCGATAGTGCCAGCTGGCACAAAACGCAGGTTCAGCGTTCCGTGATGATTAACCCCGAGCATCTAATAACTTTGCATGGTTTCTTAATACTTTTCAAGGGATGTAATTTTTGTTATATTCGCACTTTAATATTGTTATCCTACTTCTGTCATTCTAACCCAAACACTGATCTGAATTTGTTATTTATACTTCTTTTAAGGAACAAGTTTTAGATCCATCAGGAAATAAGTCAGTTGCTGTACGATTGGCACATGGTGAGACTCAGTTAGTTGCTGAAATGAAAGAATTTTTAAAAACTCATGGTGTACGATTGGAAGCTTTCGAAAAGCACGATGATGAGACTGAGGTAAAAGAAATAGATGATTCCGTTATTGTTCATGAAACATCAGGTCAACGTAATCGTTTAGAATCAAAGTCAAGATCAACTATTCGTCAATTATCGGGAACTGCATTTTTAATAAAAAATCTACCAGCTGGAACAACTGAGTTTGAAGTTCGAGATTTGCTTAAACAGTATACAAAAAGCTCTGTAACTGTTGATGCTAATAATCCTTCAATTCGTTCCGGATTAAAACGTGTTCTGGTACCCCCTCTAGGCATTACTGCTATTGTAGAATATGCCCATTCTCAACAAGCTCGGTTGATGTACAAAGCACTTGCATATGAACCGGTATGTTATTTTTTAATTAACTTACGCCTGTTATCTCTCTTGGAGAAGCATAGGTCACCCATCAGGATTCTCCATTGAACTCTTTCCTCGACAATCCCTTCCAATTGTTTCCTCTGTAGTTCTCACACTTGCTGAGATCTCCTTTCTTTGTTATCCTGATGAGGTGTCCTTTCCAGTATGTCGGGACTCGTTCCTCCTCCCAAATCTCCCTGAATAGGATGTAGAGCATATTTACAGTTACTTCTATGTCTGGCTTCAGTACATGAGTTGGTGCGTTGTTTGGTCCTACTGCTTCCCCACTGTTGATCTGTCTGATGGCCATCCTGTCTACTTCGACTGTTAGTGGAGTGATGTATTGGGAGGTCTGTGTGTGCTGTTTCGATATCTGGTTGGTTCACTGGGGCTGATCTATTCAAGAGTTCTTCAAAGTGCTCTACCCGCTTGTTCCGTCGTTCTTGAATCTCAGCGGTTAATTGGCCTTCTTTGCTTTTGACTAATCTCTCTAGTTTACTATATTTCCCTACCAGTTTCTTCGTTGTATGATATATTTTTCTGGAATGTTCTTCTCTTGAAGCTTTTTCCACTGTCATTGCTTGATGTTCCACTTATTTCTGCTTGTCGGCTCTAATTCTCCCGATCACTGTATTGTTTTTTATGCGTATGTCGCCTGTGCCTTTGCTTTATCTGCACTTGTTTCAGCTGTTGTTAATTGCTGTCTGCTTGTTTTTCCTGTCTTGAACCGTGACCAGGATATCGATAAAGATCCATTCTTTATGAAGATGTTTCTTGTGGCTCTCAGCATGTTAATTTGAAGTTAGTGCTTCTTTGATATCTTCCCAGTTGTTCTCCATAATAGTTTGTTCTTCTTTGAGCAGATCTTGTAAGATTTGGAAGCTGTTGATAAAAGTTATTTTGAATCCTTTGAGTTTGTCAGTATCTCAGAAAAAGGCTGTATTGAACCTCTTTAATGCTGTTTTTCTAGTTGTCCAGTGCTTCTCTAGCTTTGAGTTCATCTTGGCAACCACCAGGTGGTGATCTGAAGTGATGTCAGCTTCTCTCCTGGTTCTCACGTCTTCCATTGACCTTCTGGGTTTTTTGTTGATGCAAATATGATCAATTTAGTTCTGTGTAGTGTGATCTGGTGAGACACATATAGCTTTGTGTATGGGTTTATGGGGGGAATATAGTGTCAAATATAGCCACTTAGTTCATTTCATTTCCTCCTTTGCTCAGCTGTTTAGTTGGTTCTCCCAGTCTCCTACACTGTCCGGACATTCCGTGTACCTATATGAATTGTTGCTCTGGTTGTTAGAAAGGGCATCGGCCTCGTGGCTTCCAAAAATCTCGGGTTTCACCATAAGGCTTCATAATTCGAAATGAAGATCTTTCAGCGCAGAGGGTAGAGTTTAAATAATTTAAGTAGTTTTGTTCTGTTTAGCGTTTTTTTAGCAAGGTTATTTTCCACGGGATGCGGTTGCTGATCCCATTCCCAACCCTAAATGGGCTACAGAGGGAGTTTATATATATATATATATATCAGTGGTTATGTATATGAATCGGTTCAGTCCGTAAACTTCCTTCTCCACTCTTAGTTTTTTCACTCGATTGACAGGTGGTCGGTGGCTTGCGTGTAGGAAGTTTGTGTATCAATATTGATCTCAGACGCCGCGCGTTAATACATTAACCATTTAATTGAAAACTTTCTGGACTACCAAACTTTGCACCACAGTATCTGACAGTTATTACCTGAATCTGTGCATTCACTAATGTCGTTGAGTCTTTTAAGTACTTGGGTGACCGATCACAATTTTCGTAAAGCGAGAAAGTTATTAATTAGAATAATCCAGGTTGATCCTTTCCCCTGTTTTATACAAGTAACGCATTTATCAATTAGTTTTAGGTGTGTTATGATGTGTCAAGTCTGGTTCAGTTACAAACTCTTTCTTCACGCTTGTCCACCAAGCGATAAAAGTGAAAAGACTGAGGAATGAATAGGTACGCAAATCATTGATTTATATACATTTATCCTTACCATGAAAATAACACAAACCAAGATCTTGACTGGGAGTTTAATCAATTTCCTATCATAGTGTATCTCATTTATAATTTCCCGACTACTGTCCGGTCCTGAGATGGCATATAAACTCAGGTACATAATATACCTAGATTTAGCTAGTCTGCTAGTATACTCAGATGTGAACCGCACTGTTTATGTAATGACTAGCGATACTACTCAGCAGTCCGAAGCGAATTAGATGGAATTTGAGTTCGAATGTATGACAAATTATTGATTGGAAGTTGATTACTAAGCCACTTTTCTTTTATATAATATAATTTTTGATAAAGGTCTTGATCTGAATATCGAAGCAGTAAAAATAACACTGATTTATTACTAAATAGTTCATAACATTTACAAAATCCCTTCTAAAGCGACAGTTTTATTGACTTTATTCAGTAGGTCATTTTTTTCACAAAGTCCAGTCATACCGGCTGCTGAAGAATCAGAAGTAAACGTAATGATCGCTCATCATTTTGAAGTAATATATTTAAGTTCATATGATTATTTTTTTCTATCAGTTATATCATTTCCAGTTTTCTGACAGAAGTTGTAAAACTTTGAGATAATTCCACGTACATTTCATTTTATATTCCCCTTTTTAGTTTAGAGACAGTATTCTGTTTCTACAGTGGTTACCGGATGGCGCTCTGAAATCATCAACTCCTGATGATAATGAATACGAGAAAATAAAATCCGAAGAAGCTTCTACACATAAGCTGAAAAAGACGAAACATGAGAAATCATCTGTTGATAAGATTAAAAAAATTGAGTGAGTTGTTTTTTATTGGTTGACTCGCTGTATATATAAGGTATCTAAATAAATTTCTGAACTCGAATTCCTTCTCAAGAATCGGTCAAGGTGTTATACTGCCAGATATTAAATTGCAGGTTCAATCCTGCCGTCACCTAATTAAGTTAGGCAGTTTGGCAGTAGTAGTAGTGTGGTGTGTACTATTTATATAGACATAAGTAGTATATGATGTTAGTCGTGAACAGAATGTCTGGCAGCAGAGAGACAAGAAGATCGAACAGTAAAGAATGAAAACAGAATTCAATTTGTATGAAAATGCAAGAACAATGAAGTCTGAGTGATTTTGAGACAATTGACGGATATGTTGCAAATCGACCATTTACTATATGGTTGTTAGATTTTATTAACAAGTTCTGTAATTTATTGTCAAATACATTCGATTGTTCACCCACTGGTGTTCGGTTCACTACAGTAGTACTAACTTTCGTAAAACTGAAGCTTGTCCCAAATCCGAGTACACAAAGCTTCGTCTTCAAAATAAGTCAGTTAAATTCGTATCAATTATGTAAGGGGTTTTTGAAGATGATTGAATTTTACAGGTTATATCACGAAGTGACATTAGAGAACCGTCGAAAACTAGAAAGCACTGGCTATCTTTTTCGTTTTAGTATGAGCTTCAACAGTACACAATTGTCGCCCACTGGGGATCGAACTCAACACCTTTAGGTCTCGCAGCGAGCGCCTAAACTTAAGACTAAAATGTTGGCATCCAGTGACTTACGTTTTTGATCTAAGTGAATTCGCTATATTTCGTATTCATTTTTCAACACTGTTACATAGTAATTGCTTCACTTTGGAAATGGATAAACTCCAATAGTCAAAGCATCTTACTAGATGTTTATAATGCACTGTGCTGCAGAGTTCCATACTACGACGAAACACCTGTCCAGTGCTTTCTGGTTTTCAGTAGTTGTCTAGCTACGGTCAGTTTATGATTTAAACTACACTATTATCATTTATTTATTTTCACCAATCAATATCACAATGTTGGCTAAGTTTTCCACTTTATTTCTTCATCCCAGGCAATCTGACGATGAATTTGAACTGATCACATCCATTCCAACTGGTAAACGCAAGTTCAGAGATGATCATGATGATGAAGATACAGTAGCAGTTATGGATCACTCATCTCATCATGACAATGAAAATAATTCATATCAAATATCAAAATCTCAACGAGTTAAGAAATATCTAAATAAAAAACAGAAGATCGGACAAATAGCTAACAATAAATCAAGTGAATCGGAGCTAATCGACAAATTTATGGGACATAAAAGTAAAAAAGTTAAATTCACCAACGATGTTAACGTTGAATGTGTCAATCAACCACACTCAAATAATGAAAATATAATGAATAAATGTGATACTACTATTAATATTAATGAACAACCCAAAGAGAAAATTAATATTAAGAAATCAATACCATCAAAACAGTTAAAAAAGAACAAAATTTTAATTGTACGTAATATTCCTTTTCAAGCTACACAAAAAGAATTGATTGAGTTGTTTCAACCTATTGGTGGTCTTGTCAATGTTCGATTACCAAAAAAACCAACTAGCGGACATCGTGGATTTGCATTCGTTGAATTCGACACAATGGACAAAGCAAAAGTTAGTAGATCGGAGGTGGTGGTTGTTAAATTCTCTGGATATCATGAATTAATATTAGTTGGATATACATTGGAAACAAAAAGCAGTGAATATTTGTTTTGTCCTAGGATATGACTACTTAACAGAGCGCATCCACCCATCCCATTGAAAATAGAACCTAGAACCTTCAATCTCTTACGGAAACCCTTAACATCCAGTGGTTTATATGTCCAACTTCAATCAGTTTAATTTTAGTTAAATAAATCCTAAGAGAATTAGTAGCAACGCTATGCATGTATCTCAAACTAATGTGTGGGAGTTGTTTAGAGTACCTCAGTTCCAAATTTTACCCCAACTGTGATTTTCTTCTAGTACGTAGTATTCCTCAAGCGTCATACTTTACTGGATTCGTTCCAATTCAGAACAAGAACTGAGAGCGGACAATACTTGCTCCAATAATCCCAAACAACAAAAATGCTGTAGTAAAAGCGTAGATTTTATGTACAATTGAAACAAAAATCTAGCATTTTCTCGATTCGCCCAGTTGCATCGATTATTAGAAGAGACCAATCAGTGCACTTTGACTCAAGCCTAATCAGAGCTGCAATAGTCAGGGCTCTGTCTTCCTCAGAACTGATATTACCACCATAAAAACTGATTTATAAAGTTTCAAGATAGTTTAAATCATGAAATTGTTAAGTACGAGCGTATAAGTGGAAAACAGAACTGCAAAGGTTATTCTATGATGCATTATCGTATGTATACCGATTGCATATTTACTAAATATTTGGTTTATGGTATTTTTTATATTGCCTTAATTGTAGGGGACTTATCACTAGTGAACATATTCATTTATTAATCTTATTAAATACCCATATTAAAGTTGGATTTATGACAGAACTAACTTCAACAAAAAGATCGTTACTAACTAAATAGCAGCTGTTTCGTCCTATCATGCGACTCCTTGATAGTGCTCACATACGACCCAACAAAAGGTCAAACTCATGTTCTCCATTAGGTCTTGTAGTAAGCGCGCAGTAAAAGTAAAGTATTCCTCAATGATTAACTTATTTGTTCATGTGGAGCATATTATCAATCAACTAGATTCTATTATGATACGATATCATCTGTTTGTTCCTTTATTTAGATTGCATTGGAGACATTGGGCGTGGCTACGCATTTATTAGGTCGTCGTTTACTCATGGAATATGCACAAATGTAAAAATTATTGCAACGTATAATGGAATTTCTATTTTTGTAAATAATACATCATTCAAATAAACTTATTTGTCGGTTACAGAACGTTTATTAAAGCAGAAATACGATTTCGCTTTTTTTTCTCGTTTGTTTATTTTACTGTAACTTGGTGTAATGCATGATGTATGTGAATGAGTTTAATGTGAAGATACTTCAAAATAACAGTTTCTAATAGTAATCAATAACAGGTTTATAAAATGTGTTTTACTCATTATTTTGTTACCTACTGTATAAATACTGTAAATAAATTTAGTTTGTACGTAAAAAATAACCATACTTTACATACAAATAAATTGACATGTAAACTTTTGGAATTCATTTTTATTTAATTAAAATCAGTACTGGTAAGCAGCAAAAAGCATTAAACAGCTATTTCATCCCAGATTTTTTTGTCGAACTTATCAGTAATGGACGCTTTTGCGCTAAAAATACAATTGAATCCTGAACAATCATGTATGATGAGCTCATCTTACCCTGATCTATCGGTGTCAAAATCCGTACATTCACATTCCCAACACCAATCCATGATAAATAGAGATAATCACTCAATACTGTTATTGAGTAACTGTTTTATTTCTCTTTCAATATGGTCAAACTCTACCGATCGCACTTTTTCACTACAATTTCGACAACTCTCCTTCGAGTATCTGGAGACTACACTACTACTTCCTGAGTCCACGCTGGTATGGGTATGAGTTCGAGAGCAGGACAGAGTATGTTAGACTGGTTCCCAACAGACAGTCGCTTATGCTATATCCTAATAAACAGGACAGTGAAAACTCGAAATGATAGGGACACACCGTTTCCTTTTTGTTGTTTCTGTCTACGTTCCCACTGATTGCAGCTCAATCGAAGTTAAAGGTAAATTTTATGGGAAACTATCCAACCTCCTTCAAAAAGCTAAACGCTCTGATGTAGTGATAGTGGCGTGTAATTTCAGTGTTCGAATAGGTAAGCTAAACCAAACCGAAAGGTATTTGTGCGGTGTCGAGGTTCAGCGAACAGATAATGGCGGCCGTTTGTTACAACGATGCCTAAATAATCGTCTATTTCTGGCAAACACAAACTTTAGACATAGGGAGAAACATCGTCTGACGTAGCGACCATCGATTGATCGATGGACTCAAATTGATCACATTGGGTTTAGCCATAATTAGACGGGCTCGATAGAAGACTGTCTCACTGTGGATCACGTGTTTGGACTCGGACAATGCTCTGGTTCGAGCACATAATGGTCTGTCACAGCAACAAAACCTCTTAGAGATGAACTTAATGATGAAAATGTTAGAAATATATTTCAGGAACAACTAGAGGAGTTAGCCGTAAAAGTGGTACCGATCCTATGATAGCTTGATACGATATCCAAAATTTTGTGTAAACAGCAGTGATAACGACTATTAACTTAGACCAAAAGGCTAACAAAAAATCAGTGAATTTCAGCGGCATCTACAAAACTGATAGGTGCTCGGAAACTCATCTCTCTTGGTTCTGAACACGAGGAGTGGAGGCAACTTGTGCGTAGGCTAATAAAAAGCCTACGTAATAATCGTGAGCAGTGGTGGGTAGGGAAAACAGATGGACAAGATATCAGTGATAGTTAACCGCAGACAACTGCTCAGATATATCAAGGGAACTGGTATTAAAGATCCGGCTATTAGTGAAACTATCTGGGAAAAAGACGAGATTATTATTATTAACTCCATATAACTGAGATTGAATTAATGGACAGAACTTTTAAGGGAACAGTTGAACTGGCCTTCAACAACATTTCAGTTGCTTATTACCTCCAAGCTACCTGAATGGTAAACTGATAGAGGTCCTCCAACTCTTAGTGCGACTGAAAAGGCTAAAGATAATGTGATGCGAAGGAGAGCAGCGGGGCCTGACTAACTAGTCACTGAGATTTTTAAGGATGGTAGTCAAGTTTCAGCAGTCAGATTAACTGAAATCTTAGATAAAATCCCTGGACTGGACGCAAAGTATCTGGCTGGTCTCGATTACTGATCGTCCCAGTTTATAAAGAAGAACAAACACCCTTTTACGACAATCAGTTTAACTAATACAGTGACTAAAATATTAGCCTCAATAATACTTCGACGTCTAACTAGAACTCGTGAAGAGCGAATCCGAGGAAACCAGGCTGGTTTCAGACCTCAATGTGGATGTATAAACCAAATATTCACCCTTTGGCAGATTCTGAAAGATAGACATACTTTTCGACGTCCTTCTATGGTTGTATTCCTTGACATTAAGGCGGCGTTCCACTCCATTGATCGTGAGGTTCCGTGGCAGTCTGTCATTGAAAGGCATACCAAAAGAAGTACATGAACCTTATACATGCCCTCTACTCAATCACTACTGGTCGAGTCAGAGTGCACAGCAAATCGTCACCGAAATTGGGTACTTCAAGTGGTGTTCATTATGGTTATCCGCTCTCTCCACTTTTATTTAACTTGGTCATAAACATGCCTTTATAGATAACACCTTCAGGAGTTGATCTACCAGGAGATTAACTTGTTGACTCAGAATACCCAGATGATATAGTTCTGTTTGATGAGACGCTGGCAAAATGTAGACTTGTGACCACCTTAAGCAACAATCCAAGTATGTTTGGGGTGCGGTTATCTTCCTCCAAATGGAAAATGTTACTTCACAATTGGCTTGCGTCATCACCTGCATTAATGATAGATAGTGAAGTAGCTGAACGCGTCGTCTCCTCAGTATTCATGGTCTGATGTCTGACGAAATCTCGACATGGATTCTGAAGGTTCGATTGGCTTCTGCCAACTTGCGTCACTTGTGGTGCAGGTGAGATATCTATCTTCTAACCAAAGGGCGACTTTACTGAGCCACAGTTCACTCCGTCCTACTTTCTGAATGTGAAACATGACCATTGAGAATAGCGGATATTCGTACGTTACTGATATTCAATCATAGATGTCTACGAAGCATTGCTCGTATATTTTCGGACTACAGAGTAAGTAACGTCTGAGTTGGGAATAGAGTACTAGGTACAAGGATGGGAAGTCGATTGATGAGGTAGTAGGTCTTCATCAATTGAGGTGGTTTGGATATGTGTTACGTATACTCAACCACCACTTGCCTTGACGGGCGGTGTTTTTTTATGATACACGAGTAGGCTAGATGAAAGCTAAGGGCGGCCAAACCAAGACATGGAGTCAGTCAATGAAGTCATTGACAATTGGACCTAACCATGTTAGTAGGCATAGACTACCCGGTTGGGGTCCGCGTAATTATCGTGACCAATGGTTAGACTTTGAACGACATGGCCCATAATCGTTTGCAGTGGCGCACGCGCAATTATTCTTTGTCTCCCCTAGAATTTCGATGTTTTTAATTCCTTACATCCTCTCTTTGTTTTTCACTTCACTAATTTGTATTTTCTTTTCGAAATGTATTTTCTATGCCTAACCTTTACTATTACCACTGATACTGTGACTACTCGTACTATACTGGAATTCGGTCTGACAACTTTATCTCTCTGTACTAATGAGGTATAGTAACTTGAACCGATGTACATACTTACCAGGTTCTAAGTTGTGTCTGACTCACAGACCGGCTGTCGTTAAATTAATCACTAGCAAACTTATGATTGTGATTAATGTATTGATTGGCGTTGGAATATATGGATGTATTAATAAACACAGGTTTAGTTTATACAAACTTTTAAAGGTTTGTAGTCATGCATAAATTTTTCTATCTGATTTTTTCGTTGTTTGTTTAAAAGCGAGTTTTAATAATAGCCCTTATACTTGGAATATGGATCATAGCTCAATACACGAATTTATACCTGATAAATGAGCTGAACGTAATGGAAAAATATGGTAAGTGAATTTTATCGCTGATCAACTTGTGCTGTCCTATACAGAGCTTTTTGAAGTATAAATGTTTCTCATGCAACCATTTAGAATACACCTGTGAACATTCAAGTTAATAAGGTCTCTCAATTCAGAAAATACATACTGCTACCAAATTATGCCCCACTGATAAATAAGCAACATTTTCTTCTTTTTAACAATCTTCTATAATAATTTAAAAATGCCATTCTATTGATGTACATAACTATAAATCATACAAACTATTTCAGAGTTATGAATATCATTTAGCTGCAAAATCACTTACGATCTAATGTTCAAATTAATGGTTCTCACATCATAACACATCTTGTAGTTTCAAAACATAAACTCTCAAACTTTAGAAGAAAATTCAACTCAGTGTATACAATAGAAATGGTTTATTACAACTTCTAAGAGAAACAAAATGGTGGTCTTTTTTTTCTTTTTCTTCTTCTTTACATCATTAACCAAAATATCATAGAATCAGTTGAAGTAATTCAAAGTAGTTTTCTTCTATGTAATTTCAATGAAACAACAGCGTTATCATTTACATTTAATGTTAAAACTATCCCCCAAACAAATCTTATATATTTTTTGTAACTCAAGTTAAAAATAAACCTGTTTCAGAAATGCATTAGTATATATTTAGATGTGTTATAACAGACAATTGATTTAGATATTAAATCTAGTCGACAAATAATATTACTCATGTATAGTAAATGTTATTTTACTTTTTCATATTTATACCTTTTTTCCCCCTCTCTCACTCCCACTTATTCACTACTGTATTTAAACCAATTGAGATTTCATATGTTGGAGGTGGTGTATCTGATCCATTATTAAATGATGATGATGATGATACTGATAATGGTAATGAATGATTCAAATTGTCATGGTTATATATATCATAATTATCAATATGATATTGATTATTGTTATAATTAAAATTTTGTTTATCTGGATAATTTTTTAATATTAAACTTAATTGTTTTTTTAAACAATCTTTATCAATATGATTCGATTTGAAAAATGAATTCAATTTAGTATTTTTATTTAAATGTAAGTTTTTATTGACATCATATTGTGATGTTTTAATAAAAGATAAATTTGTTTGATTTTGATAAATTTCAGGGGAATTCTTATCAATATTCATAAAAATTTGATCTGAAAATGATTTATTTACATAAAGAAGACAAGGCCAATTTTGTATTGGTTTAATTACATTTGTAATTTGTTTTTTATGTTGTATTGGATAAATAAATTGTTGATTAGATAATATACTATGGTGATTAGATTTTATTGTTTTAATAAGATTTGATTGATTAATTGTTTTTGATAAATTTGTATTAATCATTTGATAAGTAGAAATATTATTAGATTTATTAATTTTTTTATGTTTATAATTTGTACAAAAGAATAAAATTCCTCCAGTAAATGAAAGGATTACTAGAAGGAAAGCTATTGTTAATATAATAAATAATATTAAAAATTCATTATAGTGATGATTTAATCGATTTTCACTAAGTGAATTATTTACATTTTTATCATGTTGACAATCATCTGTAGAATGATGATATTGATAATTATAATGATTTTGTGTTTTATTTAATTTACTTAATTCACAATGTTTTCCTTCCCATCCAGGTGAACATAAACATTTATATGATCCTAAGAGATCACGGCAACCAGCATTATTTTGACATAATGAACGACCAGTTTGTTTTGGTATTTCAGAGCATTCATTAATATTCTCTCGACATGTTCTACCTTTCCATCCTTTTAAACAATGACATTGAAAACTGATTGATTCATCTAAACATTCTCCACCATTAGAGCATGAATTATTTTGACATGCTTTTAATGTAAATTGACATTGTGGACCAGTGAAACGAGGTGGACATATACATTGATAACCTGTTATCAAATCAACACATTGACCACCTGAAAGTTTTTAAAAATGTCAGTTGTTAAATTGTGACCCATATCATTAAAATTGGATAGTGGCTAGTAGTGAAATGCAGAACTTGCATCTCGTGTTATTTGGAATCTACCTCTAATCTAGTGTTTATACTCACACTGAGGCTCAAACTCCAAAACCTTACGCTCCAAAATCTTTTACGTTTTATATTGAGCTACTGAATCCAAATAACCACTAGCTTATGAATTGAGTATGAGTTTTCTTTTTAATAGTTTATATTTACCAATTCTCTCTGTTATACATTAAAACTGAGTTTCAATATGAATATCAACACCGAGGTGCAGGCACAGCCAACAGTCTTGTCCTAAACAAGAGAAAATCTTCGTCCTGGATACCACTGTTAACCACTACTCAACTTTAATAAGGACTCATATCAGATAGTAAATTAAAGCTGTAGCGAGATCACAATTTATATTATTGGATAGAAAGCTAAAATTAACCGCGGTCTTAGTATCATAATCTGGAATTCATTATTAACCAACCGACCAGTAGAAAATATGATTATACTTAACTACGTAATGTGTTGAATCAATAAGTAAATTGAATTTATACAAACCTCATTTTATGTGATCAATCTTATTCCCTTCAAATTGATCCGCATTTGTGCCAATACACATGTTTCATCTTCATTTAGATTATTCTAAATATCCCTGTAAATTCTCACATGTCATACACTTCAATGGTTTTTTTGTTTCATTTTTTATCGTCTTCATATAGCTTCAGTGTAATTAGCAATTGAACAAAGGCAAGCTAATAAGTTCAATATTAATCAAGATGGTGCATACTTGATTGCAATCGAACAAGTTGCTTGCTTAGTTATGCTTATATTTAATAAGAGTAGTAGCTTAATTCTTTTATCTATCGAACAGATCATGTAAATTGTGTTGCTGTATCTTTCTTAGACTGGGATTTATGAGCTGATTTTTAATGTATGGAGTAATAATAGTGTTATCTGGACCTGAAGCTGTTTATATTTATGATTCAGTAGATAAGTATCAACTTTCTAATTTATAGATTAGTTCTTCCAAAAGCAAAATAATTTTTTTGACAAGACAATAAGATCAAATAATTTGATTTCTCATTTGTTACCATATTTTCTTAATCAACGCACAAAATATTGTTTACTCACTTTCACTGAATAGATGTAAGGAGAAATCCAGTAAGAATGATCAAATTCACTGTCATTAAATACTTGACTGTTTTTAAAACAACTTACTGATCAAATACCTTTTATATAGACTGTTAATAATTTGTGCCGCAAGTTTATTTACAGAATATATATTTGGTAACTTAGATTCATTGGTTACTTAATCAACCACAAAACACCAGACCAAACAACATACCAGTTGAAGCACTGAAGTCAAGCATAAAAGTGTCTATAATGATGCTCCACACTGTACTTAGAAAGATTTGGGAGAAAGAACAAGTACCAAAAGACTGGAAAGAAGGAAACCTCGTCAAGATGCTAAAGGAAAGAGATCTGAGCAAGTGCGATAAATGCATAGGTATCACACTACTATCGGTACCAGGAAGAGTTTATAATTGTGTTGTGGAACCTACTGGAAGATTGAATAGACACCTAAGTTCAAGATCATCAGCCTGGATTTCAAAAGGATCGGTCGTGCACAGGCCAAATCGCGACACTACAGATCATAGATGAATTATCAATTGGATGGGACTCGTCACTATACAGCAACTTCCTTGACTATGACAATGCATTTGACAATGTGGATAGGAAAGCCTTATGAAACCTTCTTCAACACTATGGAATACCTGAGAAGATGGTCAACATCATACGGAGTTCACACAACGGACTATACTTCAAGGTCGTGCATGGAAGACAGCTGACAGATGCATTTCATATAAGTACCGAAGTCAGACAAGGGTGCTTACTCTCGTCCACTCTCTTTCTTCTGGTGTTTGACTGGGTTATGAAGACCTATATATCTCAGAGGAAGCACGAAATACAATCGAAGGCTAGTGTGCAGCTAGACGACTTGAATTTTGTGGATGACCTAGTTCTTCTGGTCCATACACACCAAAAAAATGTAAGCCAAGATAGCTAATATAGCAGCAGCCTCTGCATCAGTAGGCCTCAACATACACAAGAGAGAAAGAAAGATCCTCAAGTGCAGTACGGAGAACACCAACCCAATCGCACTTGATGAAGAAGCCCTGGAAGTGATGGAAACTTATAAGTACCTGGGGGGAATCATCGATGAACAAGGAGGGTCTGATGCAGACGTAAATGCAAGGATTGGCAAATCATGGACACTATTTCAACAGTTGAAGAACATATGAGATTTAAAACAACTGTCTGCCAGCCAATATCAAAGTCACAATCTTCAATACAAATGTCAAGACACTTCTACTTTACGGAGCTGAAACTTGGAGAACTATTACGACCGTCATCAAAAAAGTACAAGTATTTATAAACAATTGTCCACACAAGATACTCAATGTCCATTAGTCGGATATCATCAGCAACAGCCTACTGTGGGCGAGAACAAATCAACTTCCGACTGAAGAAATCAGGAAAAGACTCTGGAGGTGGATGGGAAATACATTATATAAATCACCAAACTACATCACGAGACAAGCCGTTACTTGGAGTCCTGAAGGGAAATGGAAAAGAGGAAGACCAAGAAAAACACTGTGTCGGAAATTGGAGACAAGCATCAAAGGGACGAATGGGAATCGGTGCCCAGGATAAAGTTGGTTGGGAAATTCTAGTGGGTGGCCTATACTCCTCCAAGAGGGGTAACAGGCATAAGTAAGTACTTAGTCAACTCAAATTGAACTTGATTCATGATTGGTCATGACGCACCTTTAAATGACCTAACGAATGTATTTTGCTAACGGGTTAACAATCAAGTTAAGATTTTTGTCTTCAGATCTAACATTGATTTTTTCTAGTGTTGAAAGATCAACTGTGTTCTACAATAGATCCAGGTTATATTTTGGTAATAATCTAGATTTCAAACTATAAAATTTTAGTTTAAAAGCAGTGTACTTTAAGCTTGCGTCGAGGGGCGGTGAAGCAATATTCAGACCGAAAGAGAGATGAGAGGTTCTTCATTTGACAAAGAATTGGACAACGGAGTGCATTCATGTCAAGAGGGAGGCAGTAACCCACCGTTGGCATCGGAATATGTTTGCGTAATATTACGGATTGATTTAAGTTAAAAATATAAATCACCAGATGTCAGCCCACTGATATGAAAGCTCAGTACTCATTGTAAGACCTGAAGGTCTTGCGTTCGATTCCCGATGGAGTTGTAGACGTATACTGTTGAAGAGTTCAGTCATAGGACAAAACAGATAACCAGTGCTTTCTATTTTTCAATGTTTGCTTCACCAAAGTCAGTTCATGATGTGAACTAAAAAATGTAAGTTGTTAAGATAAATTTGATACACTACCAAAAGATGGCAAAACTCTGTCGAACTTTCTAAATCAAACTTACCATTAAGGCATGGTTCCAATAAACACTCATCCAAATCATATTCACAATTTTCACCAAATTTTCCTTGTTCACACTGACATTTGAACTGTTTTACAATTTGATTTGATCGCTCATTGTTAATTATTCTTGTTTCATTTGGTGTTATATAACATTTGGATAGGTTTCCTAAACATGGATCTTGACTGCAAGTTGTTTGATTGAATTGACAAAATGAACCATAATAGCTTGGATCACATATACAATTGCCTTCTTTCTGTATCGTATAGCATAATGCATAATATTAGTGTGATTATTGCAAAGTAAGCAGTAATAAAAATATTGTTATCTACCCTAGCATGTGGGTGAATATACCTAAATGTATGCTATGGGCTGCATGAGTGAAAATTTGTGCATTACCAGTGTGCATGTAACGTATATTTGTTCACAGGATAAGTATACCTATGTGTATTCCAAGGAATAAGTGAGAAAAAGATTATTTATTACCGGTACGCATACAGACTATACTTGTCCTTTGTTGTGGCGCTCGCGCGCCCAGACCTGGAGGTAACGATTTCTCCATACAATCATATTCACGCAGAGGGTTTGTCAGCCTTGAAAACACAGAATCCAATTCCAGAAAAGCAAAACCGACTTCATTAGATATGGTTTGACCAACCTTAAATGGGTGGAACACCATACTGAGTATTATATTAGTGGATAAAGAAGAATAATAAATTACTGAACAGCATAGTTAAACATTATTGACATTAGCTTCCAAGTTTTGTCAATTGTATCATCAGATGAACTATTTCTAGAGTTGTAACTGAATTGATTGATCGTATGTTGAATCAGCTTCACTCAATGGAAGTGAAATGTTCACGTCACAAACAAGTTCTTTTTTATCTCAACTGAAAATATTATGCAGCATTAAACTTGATAGAATTACTGTGTTCCAGTAGAGGTGCAACTTAAAACCTTTACTTTCATATTCTGTGACTCCAGGAAAGTTTATTGAAGATTGTTAAAGTCTTACTAACCTACATTTGCAATATTAGTTACTTCACTGTACTAATGGTTTTCGTGAAGATATCTAACAGTGACTTAAACCAAAGGGTTAAGAAATATTAGCAGATTTCGATAGCATGTGCTGTACTAACAAATGCTTTGAAACTCATCCTATTAGACTCAGAATAAAATGATGGACGAAGACAACTTAAATATAGACTGAAAGTAAGAGAAATGTAAAAGGGCATAGGGGTAAGGCAATAATCTACAACCCTTTTGACTTGTCAAATAAACTGGCATCAAAAATTCGGGAGTTATTGAGACCACTTAGGAAAAGGATGGAACAGTGATGTACTCTCAACCCATAAAGTTATCGACTGTTGGACTAAACTGTCTAAATGGATGCAGACTATTCGGTTAGAGTGGTTACATATTTTGTGTGACATGGCTCAGAATCCATCACAGTAACCAAGGTTCATCACCCTTTGTTTTCCCTGTGATCCCAAGTTTTTAATCATTTAAAAAATTTATTTTCATCCCCTGAATCCATATTTGTTTCTCGAAACTTAACTTCTATGTATTATCTTTTCTACAACCATTAATACTGCTACTACTTATACTATCTTGCCACCTCTCTGTATCGATGTAGTGTGGCAACTTGAACGGACGCATATATGTGTACGGTTTTACATTGCACTTGACTGACTAACTTTTATAACCGACTCTTTGTTTTTTCTCTCCTTAGAGTGCTCTCTCTCCTAGTTGGTACCAATGTAAATTCTTCACTTTATTTTTAATATTTAACCATCATCATAATTGAATGGAGCTTTGAAATTTGTAATCTCCTGGAACTTAACTTCAAGAAATATGTTGTTAACTCACAATATTCTAACTTTAAGTCCTATTATGTTAACAAATACGTTTAATATGCTTACAGTCTTCCGGTTTACATATATATGTTGTGTTTCTGGGTAACATATTTGATATGCATGTGTGATTATTGAAATAAACTTACTGAGACCTCAATTTTGTTTAAAGATTTTTGATGCCTAAGTAGGGAAATAATATTGAATTCAGAAATCTGGAGCGTTAATTAGTTAGTCCTTCGATTGCATTTCCCTCTATGAACTTTGAACGATGATGAAGTGACGTTTTAATTTGTAGTTTTTACTTAAACACTCACTAACAAAATAATTCTATGGATTTGGGAATGAGTCTTATAGGACATTATCGGAACCTATCTAAAATACATGATCTTCAGATGTAATTATAATAACAATAACGTTGATGCATAAGGTCGAGACACTCAGAAATGCACCTGTTGCTACAAACTACTAACCAATATAACTTGAAAATAGTTGTTAAATATTAACAAGTGTAGTTCTAACCAGGCATTTGTTATTGACACGTTGACTAAATAAATCTGGCAATTTAAACTGTTCAAGCTAAGAATAACTTAAAGTTTGTGAATGTCAAGTAGATTAAAAATAGAAATTATCAAGACTTCTCGGGTTACTTATTGTTCTTCAAACTTTCTTTTTTTTTAATATTAAAACTGTAGTTGATGGCAGGGTATAAATGTTACTATTCTAAATATAAGATTTATAATCAGATTTTAACTTACTTTACATTCTCCTCTGTTATTGCATCCATGAAATCTACAATTGTTTATTTGTTTTTCACAATGTGTTCCATAAAATCCTGGCAAACATTCACATCTGTATAATACTTTTAATCCATTCGGGTCAGGTTGATTAATACAAATACCGTGGTTCTGACAGATATTTACATGCTCATTACTATCACATACGCGCATATCTGAAATAAAATAAAGTATGATAAAAAATGTGAATAGTTTTATCATTATTATTAACTGATTGCATCTGATAGATCGAAGACACTGGCAAACGTTATCTAAAATTGTATAGGTAGTTCAGTTTTCTATTTACATCACAGATTGAATTTAGTTAGAAAAATACTGAATATCAGGAGGAAGTAGACAGCTATCTTGTTGTAGTATGACAATCTTCATCATTGTTCACTCATGACCCCACTGAACATCGAACTGACGACTTTCGAACTAAATAGCAAGTGTGTACTTTTCAGACAGATGAATTAATTAATATATTAAAGCGAGCGAATAAAAGTAAACACAATTAATGTAAGGACTAGTTAGTATGAAAAAGTTATTCAAAAAGTGAAATACTAATCACTTTAATAAGCTTTGAGATACCAAATGAACTGTACTAAAATCTCGACCCCTATTTGAATACTTTACTCACATTTCTTCAACTTACGTTCCGTTTAATCGAATTTGTGATTTTATGCTAGTAGATTAGTATGGTGATTATTTCTAAATTCTAATCTCATTAGAGACATTAGCATATACAATTACATTACGCTTAAGTTTTGGATGACTGAAGTAAATGCACGTTGTCATAGCCGTGCCAAGAACTTCGTATCTGAAACAGGATGGGTACTTATTTTATTCGTTTAAATAATAGACTTGGATATAGATTATTAATAAAAAATAATTGGATATAAATATTTATTACCATAACCAACAGTTAGTTGCCTAACCTACTATACGTCAATTCAAATTTCGTTCATATTCTTTAACTGTTGAGCAATATATTTTATTCTTCAGTCTTTTCCCACTTTACTCGTTTTTTAAAGTCTTAAAACGAAATATTTCAGGTCGCTATATACAGGTATCTGAAAGTAATTTAGGCAGAAAATATATGTCGCTTCATGAAGAAATTTCAAGATAGTGGGAGGCCTGTGGTTGATACGAGTAGTACACATTTATTAACTAATAACTGGCCACAATTACTTTTCAAGTCTACATCATATATGTAACTAGTGCTCAAGCAATCCAGTCCCTTGATTTTTTAGAACAAATCATTCTAACTTGGTGATCTGTCTCCCCTATCTCCATGTACAGGTTAGAAAAAAAGAAAGATTAAAATTACTTTTAACAAGAGACAAATGCAGTGGAGAACAACGTAACTAGTCTTCTTCGGATGATGATTCCTAATTCAGTTATAAATTCTGATAATTTGTCATTATTAATTACCGAGTACGTTTCACTTTAAGAGCCAGTGCGTTATCTACTAAGCTATTGAGTCCATATATCCACCAACTTGTTCAAAAGTTTTTTAGTGTTGAATATCAATAACTGGATAATTAAAAACTACCAATATTTATGTGAACTTACTGATATTGCACAGCATCCCTGTCCAACCAGGTTCACATTCACACGTGAATGGTAAGTAACTAGTGTGTTTCGAATTAAATTGGCAATGTCCATTCAAGCAACCCGGTGTTGTAATACACTGATCACAATTCAAACCTTTCCATCCATCAATACAACTAAAGAAGCAAAAGAAAATTACTTAGACAGCTTAAGGTTTAATATTGTAGTCATTTATTGTGATATCAGAAAGATTATTAATTTTAAAGGTGAAAAGTATTAGACAAAATGTTGCGTCATCTGATGACACATTAAGCCCATGAAAATATTAACACGTACTGCTTTGATCCTATCTTCTAGCATTGAGCATACTGATAAACAGAATTACTTTTCAAAACAGTCTTAAATAAATGACCGAATTCTCTTATAAGTTTCTAATTATTACTACCTGATCACTAGTGAGATATATTGGTGGTTTAATTAACCTATTTTCATTCAGAAGAGGATTCTCAAATATTGGATAACGACATATTGAAAATTGGAATATAGACAATCAGGTTCTAACTATATAGCCCGAAGATGAATGCCCCACATCAAGACCTGAAATTCCTGAGTTCGCTGTTGATTTTAGTGATCATTCCTTAAGCATTTAAACAAATAACCAGTTTCATGTGTTTTAGTTACAGGTTTTAAAATGTCATGTTTGTCTAATCCTTCGTGTTGATTGGCTTCTATCAACCAAATATAAACATGGCCATGAGTCTAAGTAACTTGATATTGAGTACACTACTTTTCGACGCACAGTGTTTAAAAATAAGCCACAGATCTAGTTTTTGTGATAATTGACACGGATTGAATAACACAGCGGTAACTTCTCTGATAGTAACACTAAATGATACGAGGTAGAATCGCATGATGAGCACTAGTTTATGCAATGCTGTTGATACACATCGCTAAAAGTCCCGACTATCACAAAACCTAGATTTAAGTCTTTCTACTGGCCACCCCAAGTCATTTAACCTTAGTACGTGCAGTGATTCTCTTTGATGCAATTCAATAGACTTGTGATATGGTTTTAATATGCAAAATCTATGAGCACTGACGATGAAAATATGTAGCATGAGAAAACGTACATCTATTAAATTAAGGCCACATTTGTCGGATAAGTTTCAATAGAAATGAAATGAAGATCTTTTATTTAAGCGATTGATCATCAATATAAAGAAGCACCACTATCAATCAATGTCCAATATTTAAAAACTAAAAAACCTGAGCAAGCAAGCCAACTATTGTAAATTATCAATCATCTTAACTCAGTAAGTTAATATTTCACAGAATCAATAGACTCAATTGATAGTTTTAGTCTTATTACACAGATTATTTCTATAAAGTGCAGTTAACAAATAACGTCTATACAATAGATACATCTGTGACTACCAGTGGAATTCAGAAAGCGCATTTTGTCCTCTTTGAAGCTAGTCAGATAAATGCACCTGCATTGGAGTCTCGATCTGAACAGCAACACTGAGATACAGGTACATTCAGCTGACTATTTCTAAGTAGGAAAAAACATGAGTTTTGGATCCTTTCATTAGCCATAATTCCATCTTTTCTATAAAAACTTGTGAAAATTGACTAATATTGAGGCAATTCGCACAGGATGCATGTCTTTCAACAAACAGTTAAGATTATCAAAACGAGATAATTCCAATCCTTTCAAATAACTGAATATTTTTTCCGACTCACCGACACAATTCCGGTCCAACACAAGTCCCATGTTTACAACCTTTTCGACAAAGGGCTAAAATTCATGAAGAAAAAAGATACTTTTTGTTCAAAAAGTATGTTAAAAATGAAATAATCAAAAACTAAAACCTTATAGGATGTTAATTCGTAAAGAAAACCATCTGTAAGATGTTTACAAAATATTTTCCCAAAATCCTTTGGACAAAAATAATTATAGTATGTCTATAAATGACTGGTGTTTAAATGGACTTCTTGATATTTTACAGGCAAGTTGTGCATTGTGTAACTAAAAAAACTGAAGACTGAGGTAACCGGATCATACTATATTATTAATTAATTTAAAGAATAAATGGTGTCGTGCAACCTGAAGACTTTATTCTCATGTTGGGTAGTTGTAAATAATCAAAAAGTAGCCACAGACCTAGGTTTTGGGTCAGTTGGCTTTCGTTAGCACAATATCTAGGTCCCGATTCTAATATTAGAGATGTGAAGTATGTTTTCACTTACTAAATTTATCTTCCCTGTCACTTTGAGTTATATTCTTGTCCCTGTACGTTTTCTCGCGTAGAAGAAATGAGTTAGGTGTAATATCAGGAGATAACAGCGAAAATATGAAGTAGTTCACTTTTCAAAACTAATTCTGTGGTCATGACAAATTAATGACAAGTTAAATTTGAAAAACATTCTTACTGATTGATGAACTCAAACCATTACCATCTCAATAACAGAAACAGATTAAAATTACACAGCTAACGTTGATTGAAGTATGAAATACCAAGTTTTCCAAAACGTCAATTATTTAGGTGAAGTCGATAGTGTTGTGAAATCGATTTCCGATTTTATCTATAATCTTAAATCTGGAATTACATCTAACTCGTGATAAGACAGTTCAGATTCTTCAAAGAATTTTGGCTGGCAGTGGTTTATATTCAGCGCTCTTACAATGATCCTACGAGTTTAATGACGACTTTCTCATACATAATGGTAAATTGAATTAGAGATGTGAACGATATGATCTTGGTTAGCTAATCCATAATCAATTCAGATATTTAGTCTGATCCTGATATCCATACATGCATTTTAATATGTATGAAACAGGATACTTCGGTGACAGTCCAGCATATGACTACAGAATACCAACGCCAAAAAGCTAGTTCAGATCCACCAACTCCATGATCACGACATGTGATTTCATAAATATAACTCATTATATCAGATCTTATTTTTTCGAATAACTGGTTATCATAAGTATTACACATGATGGATTTAACTACTTATTCCTAGTTATCAGTAATATGAGAACCCTGGATGTTTCACATATAGTCAATATACATCGTAAATGACATTGTAATATATGTAAAAGTAAAATCTGTGACGTCAGATCAAATCAAAAATGCAAATATCAAGAATTTCTTTTGTCTCTGATACTTTTCTGAACGTGTAAGAAAGATATTTTATATTCGTCGGGCGTTTACTTCACAGCACCAGGATCTTCAACCTCCTGTCATTCCTAAATTGAAACTAAAATCTGATATTTAAAAGTTGTGGAATATATTTATCGTATTCCTGGACATTATTTTAATTTCAGTTTACTGATCAAGTAGATATAAATAATTATACAGTTATGAATGAAATATTCAGAATACAAACAAATGAAGGACATTAGAAAATGTTATTCTCAATGTGAGTTTGAAAATTAACCATCACAAGAATAGAAACACCCAAATAAACATATTTAAGGATGTTAAAGTAAGTAGACTAATCATGTATATATCGTTTGCAATGGCGCAGGTGCATCCACTTTTTGTGTTCTCCCACATTCTAATCTTCTGAATTCTTCATGTCCTTTTATTCTCTTTCTAAATTTATTTCACTGGATTATAGCCCTTGACTAACATCTTCAAACCCTAGTGTTTCCGATTACTGCTTATACTCTTACTATCTCTACCACTACGGGATTTGAATCGACAACTGCATCTCCGTGCTAATGTGGTATCGCGACTCGAATTGATGTACGTAAGTACGAAGTTCCACGTTGTTACTGACTGTATATATATATATATATATATATATATATATATATATATATATATATATATATATATCCTTGTTCTTTTGATTCGAAGGGTCAGAAGTAGTACGAACCTGATGAAACAATTTAACATTATTATATTTCATCTAAAAACCTTTGGCTATAATCAAAACCATGTGTAAAGAGCAACATTTTAATACTACGAAAAGCTACGAAAAAATGGAATGGAATCAAAATTAAAATTGATTAATAACCAACCTTGATTACACCTTGCCCCTGTCCATCCAGAATTACATATTAACTCACCAGTTTGTGGATGACATTGGTAGTGACCTAATTTTGAGTCACGTGGCTTACAGTAATGATTACAGTGTTCTCCATAGTAGTTTAATGTGCATGAATAGCGATAACTGGCTGAAATATTAAAGCGAGTTTGAGATAATATTAATGACGAAGACGATGAATTTATAGTATTTTCATTTCTAAATGCTTGTTGTAATTCTGTACTTAAGTTATATCCAGTTTCAAGCAATCTGATTGGCCTCCATGGCTGATTTAGTTCAACCCTGGACAATATTGACGATAGCTGATCAATTAGCCATAAATCTGAAATAATAAAAATGTGTGATTTGTTCAGGATTACTAAAAAAATAGTTAGTTGGTCCACAAAAAAATGTTTATATGATTACAATAGTTGAAATCATGAATCAATTGAAGCTAGACCACCATGGAAAACCTGGAAGCACTGGACGGCCGTTTCGTCCTAGTATGGGACTCCTCAGCAGTGCGCATCCACGATCCCGCACCCCGCGGGATTCGAACCCAGGACCTATCAGTCTCGCGCCATGATTAATTAAAGAGGGAATGAAGACAATTATTTTAGCCAGCGTGCAATATTTCCTGTGATTTGGTAATAAACATAAAATTACGGAGAAAACTCTTTCCATAGCTCGTCCTTACATAACATTGTTCATCTTCACCTGGATATCGCTATTATAGTATGCTGATCCATTTAAATTATGTACAGAAGCAAACAGCATGCGAGGTATAATTTTAATTTGATAAACAAGCTAACTTCTAAGTGGAATATTCCGGTGTTTGTTCACTTGAATATAGAAAATTAATTTGTTTTGATTTTCACCTATTCAATGAGTTTTGTTTCAGCAAACAAGAAGTATGGATTTGGAAATTCCATCGTATCAACAAATACATACACATATTTATGCTGTGTCGAAACATCATCTCACTTAGCTCTGTAGCTATATATATATATATATATATATATATATATATATATTGAGTTGCATGAAAAACCATGGCGAAAATTATGATGGAATGTATATGAAGTATTCAATAAGAAAACAGATATATTTGATACATAGTTATTTTGTAATATCTAGATACATTTCATTTGTTTTCCTATTGGTTTATTCCTTGGGAGATCAAGTAAAAATACTATTCTGGATAAAGCTACTAGCTTATAATTTTAGAACCTGTTAGACCACACGGAATAAATCTTTATTGGACTGGTAAATAATATTCCCACTAATTCATTCTAATGGAACCCCGATGGGATACACGATGTCAATTAATTCCATTTTGATCCATGTGTACTAATATATTTATGAAAATTTACCACATAAATTCTTATGATGTACAACTCAGGCATCTTGGGGAAATGTAAAAATCTCTCGTACTGTATCTGATGATAAAATTACAAACATTTTCTTCAACTTTACTAATAATTGATTAGCCCAAAATAACTAATGATTTTAATAGATTGAATTTACGAACGGAAACATATTTGAAGACGCCTGAAATTAATCGAACTAAAAGTGGTCAAAACTCTCATTCAAAACATAAGTAATCTTATTGTAGCTTACTGAAATTTGGTAGTATTCAATTATTTAGATTTTCGAGCAGCATATATAGTACAGTTGTTATTGTCAGAATTGTAGATATTCTCTCTGGAGTTAGGCAGATCATTTAATATGATTTGAAAACTTTCTTATTTAAGACAGAAAATTTGTAGCGTAACCTCACAACTCAGTCTTTTAGTTTTAAATTCGAAATGTTTTTACTTATATAAGATACTACTTTAAATTAGGCTAAGTGATAAGTGAACATTTACGTAAAGTAAGAGTTTGTCAAACAGACTATTCTTAATTACAGTAGTACTAAGCATCTTAAAAACCTTAATATATTTACTAGTGAATAATTTCGAGAGCCTATTCTTGGAATTCTAATGAAATGCCGTGACCACTGGAGTCTCATGCCGATATTGAAACTACTAGCTAACAGTTTGTGATGTAAACTATGAAGAATTCCTCGATCTCCATAAAACCCTGTTTACTGATAAAAAAATTGGTTGAAATTAAAAACAAAAGTATTAAAATGAACTAATTAGCAGTGAAAAAAGAGTACAGAGTAAACACATTCACATTTTTCCCATACCTCCATTAGATGTAAGATGATATACGTTGAATAACAATTTTACGTTATGCTGAAAATATAAATAGAGAGAAATAATAAAAAATAGTTTTTTGGAAAGTGAGAATGAAAATAAACTAGTGAATCGAAAGAAAACTAATTCGAAAAATCTAGTCACATATGTTTAACTCTTTTTAGTAAATTTGAATAGTGGTTAATATTGGAATCTCGGACATGTATTTAATCCTCTTTAAGATTCATCAACTAGATATAACAGTGTACCGGTGTTGATATATCTGCACTGAGACTAAATCAGTACTTCGTGCTCCAAACGCCAAACTCATTATCCACTAAACCACTAAGTTCGAATAGCCACTAGCCTATGTAACGTGTATAAATTATAGTTAGAATACTTTCTTTTTAAGATTACACTCTTAATCACAAAACTATTTTCAAGTAGCAGAGTAAATTCGTATAATGTTAATGATTTTTGTACTGAAATACATCGAAGCGAAAGTAAACGCTAGTCTACGTATGACCAGTTTTACCGAAATAAAGTTGAGTTCGACCAATTTGTAAGGGATTGTCTTGTATTATATCTACCCATTTCTTAAAAGTACACCAGAAGTTATTTATTGCATTATCACAGTTTGGATCACGGATCGATTTTATCTAGACTACCATTCGATACTAGGAAACAGTAAAAAGCTATTTCGTTTAAGTATAGAATTCCTCACTGGTATGTATCAAAAACACAGTCAGCAATCGAACACAAAACCTTCAGTCTCACATTCGAACCCTAACTCTCCAGACTACTGGTTGACATCTAATTATGTACCCATCCGTCTTTAATCCATTCACGAGATTGTATAACTATCTTCCATTCACTTTGGTGTGTAATTGTCTCACAGCCGACACGGCTTAACTTGCCTAGTCACAGTTTCTCACTAGAACTCCTGAAATCGCAATTCAGAACTAGCCACCAAAGATTATATCACTTTACAATGTGGGGATTTGGTGGAGATTGTAGAATTTTTATGGTCAAGATTGTATTGGTCATGCATATAATATTGAGTGGTAGGTAGGATCTGCAGGGGGCACTTGATGTCAAGTTTATCCGCTAGAGACAACATATACGTGGTTGATTAGCACTCAGTGATTACAATTCACAATTCAATATATCGCCAAATAACTTAGTTACAGAATCATTAGCCGTGACAATATCAGACTTACACTGATGAATCTAAGGAAAAGATGCTTTGTACAAGATGTCATACATTTGCTTACTGACGAGTAGTAACAAGTCAGGTATACGGATCAAAGACACTTAAAACTATATTTAGTACTGCCGACCACAACAATATATGTCAATCAATCGTCCTTCGAAGCCTCGAACAGCTAGCAAATAATCTGCGTTGACAATCAAAATGAAGTAAATAAACTTGGGATACAAATTATTTTCACACGAAATGTCACTTTCGAACAATAATGATATGATATAAGAATAAAATTTTGGTTTATGAAACAATAATATCGAAAATCATGATACTGCATTACAGACCATACAAAATAGCTAGTTGCAAATGATTGTAAAATTCAGGTCTTATTAAACAAGCACAATGCCATAAAATGGGTCGACAGTTGACGACTGTAACATATTTTTGGAGATCTTGTGAATAAGAAAAAATCATCGTCAATAATCAGCCGATTATAAACGGAAACTCAACTGATACTAAACTACAAAAACTCCAATAATGAAGGGGTATATCAATTGAAATGTGTTTTGCAAACCACACAATCAGTTAAAACCATTTCTCACAGATGACTTACTAATTACCTATTCGGTTTATTATTTTGTTTTTCTTTGACAAAGGTCATTTTAGTTTTGACTTGTTTTTTTTGAAGGGATAGAAATCAAGTTTAAAAGTCATTCAAATGTGATAAATGTTGTCATCAACAGTCAAGTTAGTAATAAATAATCATATGTTTCGTCAAATTTATCAGTAGGTCAATAAATTATATACACCCGTTAGTCAGATTAGCGTGTTCAATTCAATTAAGTTACTTATGTTGAAAATCCTCAACTATTGTAGTGAACAGAACAAGGGTGGGGACAATCGGATGTATTTAACACAAAATTACAGAAATTGTTAATAAAATCTAGCAATCATATAGTAAAGGCTCAATTTGTAAAATGTCAATCAGTTGTCTCAAAATCACTCAGACTTCATTGTCCCTTCATTTTCATCAAAACTGCATTGTGTTTCCATTCTTTACTGTTCGATCCTCTTGTCTCTCTGCTGCCAGACATTCTGTTCACGACTCACAATCTATACTACTTATGTCTATATAAGTAGCCCACACCACACTATTACTGTTGATAAACTCAACTACAGATGAACACAACCAATGTTAAGTGTTTAAACTTTATTGATTGGCTATTATTATTACTCAATAATGCAAATCCTGGTAAATAATTTCTACCATAATCATTATTATAGAGAATAATTACAAGGATTAACTTTTAGGGATTAAAGTTAAGATTCCATCAACAAATTCATTTCACATCTTACATACATATGTTTACGTGTAATAAACCTCAATGTGTTCTTTGATTATTTTATTTCTTCAAAGTACCACTCTTTAGTTATAGTAGTAGTAGTGGTAGTAGTTATTGTTCTTATTGATGTTATAATTAATGAAATTACATGTTCTTCATACTTTACAAAATTCAAAACTTACATACCTCACGTAAAAATAACAGTGTAAATTTTAGCGGATTTCATATAATGCATTACAAATGAAAGAACATGTGTTTTCATTTATATCACAGTTTTACACTATTCATAAACAAAAAACTTTAAAAATAAATCATATAAGATAAATAAACAAGAAACAAATGAAGTAGATTTTAATAAAAAAGATAATATTTGAATTCAATGTGTCAATTCCCATCTGTTCAAATTTGTATGAATTATATATTTATTATGATTTCACACAAAATGAAGTTAATGTTTTATGTATGATTGGTCTTAGTGTAAGAGAAGTACGTGTACTTTTCAATCCCATCATTTCTGATAATCATGATGATAATATATTGATCATGAATAATTACTTCATGCTGTGATTAATTATTCTCTTTACTGCTTAATAGAATAATAGTTGATTTCGGAGGTTATTGTAAAGATATTGGCCGGTTTAATGACGAATTGTAATCCGTTAAACAACGAGTAGAAACTAAGGTGCATTGACAGTAGATACATACGACCTTATATATAAATGAACCATTATACGTTTAGGTCTTCAGATGAACAAATCACTGAGTGGTGATCAATGTCATGTGTGCCAAGTCCACATTAGTGGTAATCGAATGCTATCGACCAAGTTGCAATGTGGCCACTAATCTAGGTGACTCGACACTGTGTGCATGCGATAGCATTAGATTTGCACTAAGAAGGACTTGACATACATGACATTGATCACTACCCATTGATCAATCAATTGTAATTACATCTCAGTCCTACAGGAGGTCGGTCGCAACCCGGATAGCTCAGTGGTAACGTCTTTGACTGTGGATCCGGATGACACGGGATCGAATGCGTCAGGGAATACCAGTTCCCTTAAGATTACAGGTACACCTTGCTGATGAGTGCCAAGTCGCACGAAACCCGGGTCCAGGGTTTCCAGTCGACTACCTTCAACCACCGTCTAATAAAATTACGTCATATAACTTTTGAGACGGAGGGTTGTCTTTTATGAATCCCTATAAGTATGATTTTGATTTTTCGGTCTGTATGATTTGTGTGTGGGTATGTCCATAGGGCATGAGGTCTCGACTGAAAAGGGCTAGAAAAGGCAGTATTCTCTTTTTCATAAGGCCTAACTTAGTTAAAAACGGGGCGGTAAATAAAACGAAAATATGAAGCGGGTGTAGCAAATACAAGTGAAGGAAGCGGTGACTGAAAGAGTATACCTGTGTGTACGCTGCAAGATGCATAAATAAAAACTTCTTTGTTACCGATGTGCATGCAACGTTTGCTTATCCCAGGTGCGAATCAGAGGTTTCCAACTATTTATCCACGAAAACATATCCATGCAGATGGTTTATGCGCCTAGAAACAACAGTCTTCTTGCCAGAAAAGCTAATAGGCTTCTCCAAATATAGCTTCACCAAGCCCAAATGGCTAATGCACCTGACAAAAAGCCTTAAGCTTAGGTTTCTCAATTTATGATATTAACAAATTAAATATCTGGTTTTGAGAATAATCATTTTGATGCAGTTTCGTTCTCTGGGCTGCATGATTTAGTCGTGGGGCTTTCACTGTTCTTCTGAACAGCAACACCAGCACAAAATTCAGGAAGCAGTGAAGTGTTGGAATTTCTTCACATATAACTAACAGCTTGTCCCGTCGACCTCGATGTTGACTGGTTATTGTTGATCATTAGCCTATCATTATCTGTATCTTTATTTTGATTGTATCACTCTTTGGTCAAACTCTTGCTCCCATGTGTGTCCATGGTTCTACTGATTAATCGATAGGTTGGAACGAATTTGATGTGTTTTTGTTGATTGCTGGTTGACATGAAGATTTCCAAGTTTCTAAAACTTCTCTGATGTTCTTTACAAGATTTCAACATTTTCCAGTCGAATATGTATCCGAAACTGTTCACATGTATTGATATAAACAAAAATAATATCATGGAGTTTGAATGCTAGTTGATCTTCATGCAGGCTAAGATAAGGGGGGGCGCCCACTTTATCTGAATAACCACTTTATTTTTAAATGCACGAACCCTCAAAATGATCCATCTTGCTATATTTAGAGCTGCTGACACTAAGTGATTTAGGATGTTAGCGGTTTTTGTAGTATCAGGCAGTTATTCAACAACTATAAGTTCATGATTTCAATCTAATTCAACAATCTCAACAACTCCTTACTGACTATTCAAAGTCAACCAGTTATTCCATTGATCGCATTGCAATAGCAAGGTCGAATGAATTTCAACAAAATTAATAACGAAACAAATTTATTAATTAATACCCAAATTAATAAATGTAGATATATACAAATACTACCAACAAGTTATACTTACCTTTATCATTGTGCTTAATTTTACACTGTAAGTTAAATTAACATGGTTAATCGATGTATTCAAATTAAGTAAACCGGTTAAAATTTGTCCATGTCCAATTTCACAATCGACTGGTAATAAATCATTATAAAATTCCCATGAAAATGATGATGTTCGATTATAAGGATGAATTAATTTATCTCGACGTTTCATTAGAATTGGTCTATTCAATAAAATACGCTGGTTTACATTATTTATATACTTTGTTTCAGCTATACATATGCCTAGGACAAAATGACACTGATTAATATTGATATGTGTAAAGCATTTCTCTGTATATATTAATTCATTTGATTTATTTAAATGGTTTGCCAAATTTAAAATCAAGTGTTCAATGCGTAAATCAAACACGCTTCTTGTGAAGAATTTCTGTATGAAAAAAACGAGAGAGAAATAAAATTTATTTAGTTAAGTGTATGAAGTGTTGAGCTTATGATAGATAAAACAAATTGCATATTAAAATTTATATGTATATGCTCACTAGTGACTGGCTTCAGGAAGTATCTCCTGGAGTTCTAGTGAGAAGCCATGACCACTGGAGTTCAATCGGGTTTGTTGTGAGATAAGAATTCACTGAAGACACTGGTGGATGTATCACTCAATTTCGTGGATTAGTTGAAGTTAGACATTAACAACGTTGGATTCTGACCGGCTCACTGGTTTAGAGGTTAAGAGTTCGCGCGCGAGACCGTTGTGTCCTGGATTCGAATCTCGTGAGGTGGGATCGTTGATGTGCACTGCTGAGGAGTCCCACGATGTTACGAAACGTCCGTCCAGTACTTCCATGTTTTCATGGTGATCTAGCTTCAATTGACTCATGTTCTCAACCATAAAAATTTAAAGTAACTGTTTGATACTCCAGCTTTTCAGAATGTGATCTAATTCTAAGATTTTCATTTGATAGGCTGAAAGGTTTTGAAATGTTGTTGCAAAAATTATGAACTACCTGAATACATTTAGGACAAAATTTTAGTTGAATAAATAAATAAACAAATAATTCTTTTGGATTGGTTGATACTTCAATAATCTGACTTGTAAATGAAAGTTATTTGATAAATGAATCAAATTATTCAAGTAAGATTGTCCAATAATCCAATTTCCAGGGAGATATAAGGGATACATCTTGTAATAAATGATTAACGTATGTAGAAAATTAAACTGGTCGCCTATTCGAAGTGAACTTTTCCAAACTAGGTGGATAATTTTACTAAATCGAAGGTAAATTACTTTATGAAATTTAAGATTTGAACTAAATAAGGGTGACCAATTGAGTTCAATCGTAGTCGATGGAAGATGATCATACAATATTGTGAATTGATTGAAGTCGGATGAGTACATCATTAGATGTCAGATCAGTGATCTGAAAGATAATGGTTCGGGTGTGAGACTAAACGTTCTGTGTTGAACTCTTGATTGTGTTTTGGATATAGATCAGTGAAGAGTTCCATACTAAAACGAAACAGCTTTCCAATATTTCCTAGTTTCAAATAATAATCTAGCTAAAATCAGTTTATGATATGAATCATGAAAACCAAAGATTTATGCATAAGACATTGTTTTGGATGTGAGTGATCAAGAAGAACCATGATAAACTATGCATCCTGAGCCATAAATAATAAAGGGAGACATAGATTAGTATAATTACACAAAATTTATGATCATTGATTTAACTTCTGTTAAGGATGGAATATTCATTCCTTTTAATCTTCTAGATAGTTTCATGTGTTATTCGTCTTGTTTTTGAATTTTATTTCCGAACATTTCACCTTGAGATAGTTAGAAACAAGATCACAAACCAGGAGAGTAAATTATTTGTAAAATAGTAATCAAAACTCTTAACATTTTTCTTTATTATTACATTACTTTAGTTCATCGAATGATGATCATATGTATCCTAGTGATATAATGTTTAAGAGAGTCGTAGAGTAAGGTATCATGACGATAATTTTAATCATATCTGTTGTATAAATGTATTTTATTCACACTATGGTACATATGACTTAGTGAACTCGAGTTTCAGCTAGATCTTTGTTCTGTTTAATGATAACAAAACATGGATGAGTGTTCAAAGAAAAGGTGACACTTAAAGACTATCTAATAGTTTAAGACTAGCTTGAATGCTGAATTAAAGATGGATTAAATAGTAAATCTGATTACACAATAAAATGAAATATCCTACCGTATGCTCACTTTCTCGATAAATCCATTAATAAAAGAACTAAAGGCAAGGGACTTTTAGTTAAGTGGTGATAAAATTGTCCCAGAAGTCTCCTTACTATAATTTATTAATAACAGATATAATTATAATCATTTCGGACAAGAAATCCCATGAACTAATCAACTCTTACAGTTATGTGGCTAAACCAATAATTAATGTTGTATGGAATATATCTAAAGTATATAAATTTATAATTCCTGTCTAGCTATCTGTATGTCTTTATTATGTTGTATCTTCTATTCATTTGTTTATCGGTTCATAGCTTAGTAAAGATAGTATAATCAAGATAACCTTCGAACAGATTACAATTCCATAAAATCACCTAACTGAAAGTACAAATAATATGACCAATTTAATAAATTATTAACGGATAAATATAATCGTCTGATGAGAAACTATATTCATCATAATACTGAGGCGTCATTAGTTGGACGATTGGAAAAAAAAATTTGTTCTATATATATACCACCATAGGTAGGATATTACGATGTTATTTCAGACTACATCTATGGACCATAATAAAAACTTTATAAAATAAAATTCAGCGTGCACTTCACAGAAAAAAATAAAATCAGTAATTTTATTATGTAATTCAGGCGACAACATGTACGTTTAGGTTTAAGGTCAATACATTTAATTAGGTAGATTGGATTTTTCGATTCATTTTCTAGAAATTGGTTTGAAATGAAACAAGTCAATAGTCTGTAAAAAAAATGTAGTTTGTGGTCAGGAGCGGAATCATGGAACCGCTTTATGTCTTACCAGGGATGCCGATACATTTGACTGAAAAGTTTTAAATGCGATGAGACGCACCTTATAGATACCACTGCTTAGCACAATGTATGTGATCTAAAATATTAGGATAAGATTATTATAGCAAGGGATTTCGATCAGAATGCACATATATAAACTAAGAATGATAATAATTCCGTTTTGAACATCAAAAAACGGGATAATTATAACCCTTTCAGAATAATACCATAAACAGTCTCCGTAAAACTGAAAGTTATTTCCATATTCGGCTCACGTTTACGGAGTGCAGAAATCAGATGAAAAGTGCTAGTTTATGATTAAAATAGGTTCGAAACACATCATTTCAATCAATCAGTTATCTACAACGCAGAACCAGTACCATATTTGCATCGGTCCCGATTTCTATACCTGATTATCACAACGACATGAACACCAAATTCATAGAAACAGTTACTTCAATGGTAGTAAAAAAAACATTTCATATGATACAGGAAGTAAGAATCAGTTAGTAAAAAGAAAGGTATAAAATGATTAAAATATCATGTTTTAATGGAAGACAGAGAGTGTATGCACCTATGCTATTGTGGTCGATTCTAGGCCATGTCACCCGAATTCTCCAACCATCGGTTACGACAGTCACGTGGACCCCAACCAAGTACTCTACATCTACCAACATGGCTCAGATCAGAAGCTAGTGACTTCAAGCACTGATGCCACGTTTTGGTTTGGCCGCCCCTAACATTTTTCCAACCATCCCCAACACTAGTTAGCATTGCGCGTCGTGGTAATCGGTGTTCAGGCATACGCAACACGTGGCCTAACCATCTCAGTCGATAAAGATTCACAACCTTATCAACTGATTTACCATCATTCCCTAATACCCTGTGTCTAACCTCACTATTACTTATCCAGTGATCCCAGCAGATGCTGGCAATATTTCTAAGATATCTGTGATCAAATACTGGTAATTTATGAGTATACCCCCTCCTAATGGCCACATTTCGCAGCTGTGAAGTAGGACAGAACGAACTGCTTCTCAGTATAATCGTCCGTTGATTGAAAGACGGATATCTCGCCTGCGCCATAGGTGACGTAAGTTGGCAAAGGCCAAACGAACTTTTCGAACCAGTGCTGAGATTTCGTCAGACACCAACCCATTAGGGCTGATCAGACTTCCAAAATAAGTGAAGTTGTCGATGCGTTCGACGCAGGCCAATCCTGAAGCAACAATTTGTATTTAGAGGGTGAGAAGCGCATCCCAAACATCTTGACATTGTTGCTGAATGCTACCAAAAGACTCTGGGTTTTATCAGAGTCTTCACCAAACAGTGTAGTGAACAGAACACGGGCCGGGAACAATCGAATGTACTTAAGTACATAATTACAGAGCATCTCAATAAAATCTGAAAATCATACATTAAATCGTTAATTTGCAAAATATCAATCCATCATATCAAACTTAACTGTTCCTGATGTAAACATCAATCCATTGTCTTAGATTTCATTGTTCATGCATTTTCACACCGATTACGTTCCGTTCCCGTTCTTTCCTCATCGACCTTCTACTGAAATACATTCTATGTCTGACCATCGTCATATACTACTTGTGTGGATATAAGTAACCCACACCACAACAGGACTCAATCATCTTCGTATGCTAAGTCGATAAGTGGACCTCTTGGTAGGAGATCAATCCCCGAAAATTCAGTTAGTGAGAGCGTTCTTCCCATCAGTAGGTCTATGATGAAGTTAAACAAAAATGGAGAAAGTGGACAGCCTTGATGGAAACCACTTGAGGTTGCAAAAACAAACGACAGTTTGCCATAACTTCTGACTCGACTAGTAGTGTTCGAGAAAAAGGGCCCTCACAAGTTTTATGTACTTCTGATAGGTACTGCCATAGAACCTCTCGGTCTACAGAGTCAAATGCTGCTTTTAAGTCAAGAAAAACTATCGTTGTTGGACGCCAATAAGTACGCCTGTGTTCTAGATCCTGACGAATGGTGAATATGTGGTCGATACAACCACGACCAGGCCTGAAGCCAGCCTGGGTTTCTCGTGTTTGAGGTTCACGAGTCTTAGTTAGGCGTCCGATAATTATTGAGACTAGTATTTTAGATGCTGTTTTGGTCAAAATAATCCCTCTATGGTTGTTACTGGATGATTTTAACCCTTTCTTATATATTTCGACAAAGTGTTCCTCCCATCGTTCTAAATGTTTGGGCTGAGAGCAAATAAGAGTGTCGTATTTTTCCGAGGTCATCTCACTTACACTTGACTTCTGGTTTATTTTATTTGTCTGAAAAGCTGTCTTGTGTTAACTACAGCCGCTTCCTTTTCCATCTATTTTGCTATG